GATATACGAGTTTGATATCCACGAGATTTTTTCATTAGGGAATACTAATATGCGAAAGAGTTTCACAACTGCTGATTGCGGATTTGATGATTGGTGATTATAAAAAAAAAAGAAATTCAGTGCATACTGAACATGCATATCGCTACTATTAGTGCAAAAGGTCATATGTAAAAATTGAGTGTTTTACAGGAGAGCATAAAGTTTATTGCCCTCTGCTATTTTCCATAGTAACAGACTACTTATATATCACTTGCAGACTACAAAATGCCATCTTTATTAGCACAAATGAAGTAAGATGTACATACAAACTTTTGCATTAATGGTACCGATTTATACTTAATAGGTATGTTTTCACTCGTAAAACGGATGGAACAAAAATCCATAGCAAAAATGCAACTTTTTGTTTGTTCGGGGTTAATGATACCAATATTTTCCTTTAATCAGAATAAAACTAATAAGACATTATTGAAGTTCACACAACTATGATGTTTAAGGAGAAAATCGAGACCACGACGAGCTGGTTGTACTTCAATAGAAAGAAACACAATCATACATAAGACTTGTTTTTTACAAACTCAGAGTAAAAATTAATTTAAATTTACTAAAAAATCACGAAATCTAAGTAGAGAGGCAGTAAGTGACTTGCTAATAACGTTTGGGATCTTTTTTTAAATTTATTTTATTTTTATTTCTTGTTTTTGGTCCTCCCCTTCTTTGTCTTTAAGGCTTATACGGGGTTTTCCCGGGCCAGGGGATGTGGGCGGGAATTTAAAATTGAATTGAATTGAAAGAACTCCTCGGCACCGGGTCGCGAACTCGTGACTAACTAATTTTTATCATTTGTGTCATATATCAGGTTGCCAAGCAACGGCGGTGCAGTGCACACGCGTTAGCCAATTCCGCAACCACGGCCGCCTAAACGTTTGAGATCGACCAAACAATATAAATAAATCAACTTTTTGAATAAAACCTAAAATTTAATAACTCCTTAAAAATATTGTATTAACCTAACTCGCACTCCATATGATCAGTGGCTTCCATATTTCTCAGCCATTATATTATTAACATTATTTATATTAATTTTAATTATTAAATGGAATTCAATGAAATTAGTACTTGGTAATTTCTATACTATTCTCCTTGAATGAGCCGTTTTCAAGGTATAGACGTGTCAAATAATATTTTTCCTAATCTGAAAGCGGAAGTATTTTTTGAAAGTAATGGATAGAATTTCATCAAATTTATACATACCTAATTATCTGTTAAATTCTCTCCAAATTTAAGCTAAATCGTTCTGAATCGTCCAGAAAAACTAGTGAACGGAATTTAATAAAATTGATACAACATTATTTTTTTTTTTATTAATACCTATCTTTTATTCAACTTTGAGACAATCGAACGAGCCATTTCTAAAATATTGGCATACCTAAAAAAATACATTTACGCGTGCTAAGAAATTGATATTGGATATGGGGCTATCTAGACGCCAACCCGTACAATCTCCTATTAAACAGAGTTAAATGTGCAAGTCATTTGAGAAAAGATCGCAATAATGTCACACTGTAGGTTTCCCATTTGGATTCTGGGATCCCAAAGAAAGAAGATAATGATGAAGAAATCGTAGAACTAAAGTAGTACTTTTAATTGGATATTTATATAATATTTATATTAAAATTTTGTATTTATATGTTATAAGTATAAAATTACGTACAAAAAATAATTATATATATTAATCTCTGTTATTTCACCAAAATCAAATCAATACTCCCTCTTCTTTTTTTTAATAATATGCAAAGGTAAAATTTCTAATAAATAATTGTTTTTATTTTTTTCATTGTACATTTTTGTTTTTATAAAATAATATCTTTTTTTAAATAAATTATGTTGAATGAATGAAATTATTAGAATATTATTTTTATTTCGCTATTAATATAATTTTTAAAATCTTTACAATATACCATAGTTGTGGAACCTTTTTATCATTAGAGGCTGCTGTAAGTTTAGACAGTGGCTAATGGAGGCCACAAAAAGTATTTATATTTTACTATTGCTATTGTTATGTATTAAATACAGATACCCATAACTTATATGGGTTGAATATATGTATGTTCAATAAGACGGGCTGAATATATGTATATTAATAATTTGAATATATGTATATTCAACTTAATTCTATTAGTTTTCAAATTTTCTCAACTTAAATAATTAAATATTAATTAATTCTAGTGATAGATTAATAAAAATCGCGCAAAAACGTTTGGAGGCTGCATGCAGCCTTCGGGGCAGCAACTACGTAACGGACACCACATTTGTTCCAAGGTTCCAAGGTCTCCACCTATGCAGTATAATATGTATCTATCCATTTAGGTAATGTGTTTTTAACCCATATTTTAATTAATAGTTGAATTTTCATAAGTAAATTTCTTAAAATGTTTAGTATCATTATAAATTTCCAAGTTTCTATTTTCTGACTTTGTTGACAAAGTTTGAAAGATGAAAAAATAGTTTTAAGAGACTATGTTTCAATCAATTTTGTCTATTATTATTACAGGAGTATCTGCTATCAAGAGAAGTGAAAATAGGATTCACTATGCTTCTGCTGGTCTATTGATGTGTAATTTATAGGTTGTATGATACATGCACAGGGGAGCCCATCCCCCTTTAGGTCAATGGCCCAAGAACCTACCCATACCCCCTCTCATCTCAAGATATTTTATTGTGCACCTTTTCTTAAAAACAGAGCAAGCTAAGGTAGCATTAGAAAAATCATAGGTCATATACAATTAAACTTGCTGCAGTATGTTCCATGTTTTTACCTTGTCCCTTAGTTCGAAAATTCATAACCTCTCAAAATTTGCCTCCCTCTGAAATTCAAAAACCCGCCAAAATATGGCCCCCTCAAAAATGTTGATGGCACAACTTGCGCTATGAAACCCCCTTCTGGACATTCCTGCCCTGACAGAACAAGGGCAGCGATAGTTCAATGACTAGAGTGCGAACTTGATGGTGAAGGTTCCTGATTCAAGAATGGTTTCACTATATTCTTTTGGGGATGGGGTGGTCCAGCGGGTTAACGCATATGAAAAGCACTGTGCGTTGCCCACCAACCCCATAACAGAAGTTTTGAGATAAACAAATAATTAATAGTTCAAATCCGGGTTTCGGGTGGGACTTTTACCTCATCATGATTCCCCCATTCTCTCCCCCCGCACAGGAAAAACCCAAGGCCAGGAAGGGGAGACAAACCAAAAAAAATAATAAAATATAAATGTCCTGACAGAGAACCCAAAAATTTAGATAATGTTTAAGACCACCACTGAAATTCAAAAAAGTTTAAAATAGAACATACATTAAAATTTGGCTATGTTCATACTGTTCAATTTTTTATTGCGTTTTCCTTTAGCCCACACTTAGTAGCATGGCTTAAGATATTTAATAATTAAAATGCTAAAGTCTAGTAGATCAGTGGACATATGTAGCTTATGTGCAGGGCTTAAAGAGAAATCTTTAATTTTTACATGATGTTTACTACTAAATAAAGTGTAATTGTGAATTCAATCATTTGTAAGAATTATATAAAAACTTCTTCATAGTTCATTAATTTTGTAATAATTATTTATTAAAACTTATTACAGCTTCTAAAAATTACAGGCATATCAGGTAAAATTGAATTAAAATTATGTTCCCAGTGAAATAACTTCCATGGATTTTATCCATATTAATATTAAAATCTAAAACTAATAATTATTAGAACTAATTTGTAATAACTTTTGTGGTATCACATTTTTAGACATATTTAATGTTTCATTTATGAAATTATAATAATTAAAATATCTAACACAATATTATATAAATATTAAACATAGTTCAACTTGAAAGTCTAAAAAACAATATTAAATATATGAATAATATTTATAACATAATTTTTATGTACAAACAAAATAATATATGTACAATGTTTTAGTGTTCTTTAATTTGCAACATATACAATTAATAATAAATATTGAAGGCTATATTGGTATCTTTATTTTTATTGTAGAAAGGCCCCACAGTGGCTTTATTCAAATTTGATTTGGCACTACTGATGCTTTAACTATTATTTTAATAATCAGTTATGCCATGGTGTTTAATTTATTTAAGAATTTTCTTGAAAATTCTTTGTACGTATAAATTTATGGTAATACCTCAAATTCTTAAAATACAAATTTGAATTTTCATAAAAGTTTCAAGCAATAGAAAGTTTAGCATAAGTACGAAAATCCATAAAATTACTTTTTTTCTTTCTTTTTTTTAACTCATTAAATATTGTAAATATATAAGCGAAATTTCTTTCTTTCTCAGCAATATATATTTTTAAATATTAATTTATTATTTACAAATGGTACAAGCTAATTTGTGTCTTTTTAATGTACGTAGTTTTTAACAAATTTTCCGTTCATTAATATTGTCTCAATAGATCGATGTTAAGCGAGACCTAATAACCTGATGAATTTTCCATTAAATCATTCTTTGCTAGCATCAGTGTTCATACCATTTGAATAGAATCATTACTTTAGTAATATTTTGCCATTGACTTCATAGTTTGGTTTCTATCACAATTTAAATATTTTTAAATATATGCTCTATCATCTAAAACCCAAAATATTGAGCACATAAATTATTCCAGAGTAGACACTAATATTCATCGCTCACTCTCCTTTACAAAGGTGCAGACCTATTGTCATTGCACTTAGACAGACTTACAATAAATTATTTGTTCCTAATGATTAACAGATAAGAGAAGAATCCGTATAATCATGATATGACTTAAAAATGATTTTTTTGACTAAACGTGTCTTTGCTTTTAGATATAATTGATAATTTTTAATGATAAGAATCATATAATTTTTTTTCTACATTTGCTAAATAATGGTGGAAATTTTCGATTTATTAAAACATTAAACTAAGACTAAGGAATCAAACTTAAGAAGAATCTGAAGCATAATTAATTTATGCATTAAGAGAATATAGAGTAGAAGAATGAAAGGAAGAAGAAATTGAAGAAGTTGTAGACATCTTGAGAAATGAAATGAAGAATCAAGTGATTAAGTTTGGGGATATTTGGCCATTTGAGCATATGTTCCGATGGTTGACCTGCGGTGTCCGAGAGCTTTCAATGCTCCTCCGAAGTAAATATCAATATTCCTCCTCGTCAAAATCTTCCTCCTCTTCTTCCCTACAAATAGAAAAACAAATATTTAAATAATAGTTTTCCAAATAATTCATTTCACATATTTATTAATTATTAAAACTGCTTAAAAAGACATTATGGGAAAAACAGTCCATTGAAATATTGCTAAACTTATCCCAAAAATATATTTAGTTTTATCAATTTTATACTTCATGGTTATTTATTTATTTAGATAAATAACTTAAGGAGAAGATTAGAGTTTAATGAAGGGTATCAAAAAACAATTGAAACAAAAATTAAAGAATAGTAGATAAATTTAAAAATTAAAGCTCACTTATAGATACCAGACATATTCAGTAAAATCTAAAGGCATACATGAATAGCAAATCAGTTCTCAGTACTTGTTATCATGTTAACAAGGTACAATCTCTTGTTAAATGATAGTAACTTTACTAAATAGGGCAAATAAAAATAGTAATAACACTATCGTTCTAGTCGAAAGCAAAGTGGCGTAATTTAGCACCAGTGCTAGTCTCACCTATCTGATGGAAATGATATTAAAAGAGAAATATCTGTATTGAGATATCCACGGTTTGTATTAGAAATGTAATCATATGCTCAGATACCAACTCCTGAAATACGATCTGAGGAATAAATTGAATGAATCACTATTAGGAATTATAAGTGATGAATGATCATTTTGGCTTACTAGTTAAAAGAAGGACAATTCGGACCTGATGTCAGGTTCTCCGATGATAGTGTTGATTATACCTTTCGATATGAAAAGAGTTCCAACCATATAGTGATAGCATTTAGACTGATGAAAAATTCAGCCAGCTCCCATAGTAGTGATAAGATTTGTATAATTCAATAGTATGAATGCACTAAAGAGAAGGCCAACAGTAGATACTCTGCTGAGAGTGTAGTGTGACTAATGAGAGGTTGGAGATATATATGTCATCTCCTATATCTTATATCCTTCACCTTCAATAGCATTCGATAGCCATGCATACTAAAGCAGTTGTACAAGTATGAGGCTCTCACCAACATGTATGAAGTATTGAGGAGCTACCTTCCAGACGAGATTGAAAATGTAGAGTAGCTTAAAAATCAGTAAAGTTGAAAAAAAAAAGTTAAACAAAGGTGGTTTACTATGTCATCACTGCAGTAAAAAAATAATGGTAAACATATATCAATGTCACTGTTTCAATTGAAGACCTAAATAAAAAGCAAAACTAATTTAATTGCTAAATTATTCATTATAAATAATTCTATATAATAGAAGAAATTAAAAATATTCATGTGCTTTAATATGAAAGTGTGGAAAAATGTAAACAAGTGAACTTCGACTTCTCATAATAAAAAAATATGACTAAGTTACTATTAGATATAGTAATGGGTGAGTTCATTATTAGTTTTAGTTGAAAAAAAATTAAATTGCCAAAATAGAAAATAAACTAACATACAATGTTAATATTTTTGATACAAATAATTGAAAAAAAAACATTCTTAAGTTTCTGTTACTTAGATTAATTACAAGTATGAATTAGAATTAAAAAAATACTGGCTTTCCAATTCCAATGAAAGAAAAAATATTTCAACACTATCCTGTTTCTATGGAAACATATTTTTTTTGTTTATACAGTTGTATGTGATTCTGTTTGTGAAAGTCACCAAATTAGGAAAATAGAAATAGATTTCAATGTTCAGATAAAATGTTTCCTAAATGATTTGGTCTGAACCCTAATAAAAGATGAAATATAACTTCCAAAAAAAAAAAACATAATTTAAAAAAGCCTAAAAAACAAAACAAAAATAAAACAAATCAGAATCTTCATTGGTCTCTTAATCTTTTTCTAGGTTTTATATAAAACCATTGCCATATAAAGTTGTTGGATAGAAACTAAGGTTGTTTTCTATTAGAGTAGAATTGCTGGCTTTATGATGGTGTACAGACACCTATATACTGCTAAGTGGTCACTAATTCAAGCTTGGCTGTTTTTAACTTGAGTATCCATAGCTTTATTACATTAGCTTATTTGGTTATTCCACTTCAAGTGGCACTTTTAAAAATTAAATTTTCAAAGATAATCTTTACTTTTTTGACCAACAACTATACACACCAACAATATCAAAAAATAAACTAGACCTGTTATTAGGTAAATGTATTATTAGATCAAATGTATTAAGAAGATAAACCCATAATCTGATTTTCATTGCAATGTAAGATGTTAATGATGAAGAGAAACTATTAATTGATTTTGAACCGACAGTTATCAAAAGGGTTACTCAGTTCATAATCTTGATTGCAGTTCATTGTAGTAGGTAATGAAGAAGGGTTGAATTTACTTCTACTTAATAATAATAATGTATATAAAAACTATGGAATATAATTTTTAAAGGTTTGGTGGAGTTTTATAAAGAATATTTACTTTTCATATAAAATAAATGTAAACACTGTTGTGTATAAAAAGGATTCAAAACCAATACACTCAGAAGAGTCCTCTTTGACTGAAGGGTATGGATACTTGGACATATGTATGGCTGCAAGTTATATCTACAGGTCAAAAGCTCCTAGTCAGGATATTCATTATTAATTGCAAAATATGTCAAGAGTGGGTGTTAGATAAAGAAAACATAAAAACTTTTCATATAGAAATAATAAAATTTACAACATATTAACTTTTTCTATTTCAAATTATGCAATAATAATGATTTACAAGTGTTTTTATAAGTAGAAGAAATAAAAAAATTATAATAAAGAAAATTGATAATTTTTATCAGTGTTAGACCAAAGTTGATTTAACTTTTTGGAAAACAAATTCAAATAAAATAAATCTCTGGGATTATATATTTTATAATTAAAGACAAAATATTTATAATTAGAGCTAAACTAAACTATTTATCGAAAACAAAATTTAAAACAGAATGAATCAGCATTTTGTTGAATAATATTTCCTATGAATATTTAGATTATTTTTCTATTTTTCAAAGCATTGCAGTAGCATAAAACTAATATTTAGCTAAACCATGCTTATAATAAATAAAAAAGGTGAAAGGTGAAGGTCATTTTAAATGACATGCACAATTAAAATTTTAAAATGCAGTATAATATTTACTCTTTTTATTTAGCCATCATGAAGATATGAGGGTGATTCCATGGAAAATGTTAAATTCTTGCCTCAGTTGTTTTTGAGCCTTCTACTCGGTATATATTTTTGAAGGACAAAAGACTTCTAGGAAGTACTCTCTCTATTTTATTAGCTTTATTACATGCAATAATGAATTTCTCAATCAGTAATCAACAATAAAATATAAAAACATCTTTTCCTTGGCTGTCCCACCCACTTTATGATTTTACCACTTGAACAGCTCTTATGAGCACTCTACTAAGATTCTCAAGCTCATAGAAAGTATATATTAATTTAATATACATCAGATTTTGCTCGTGCATGTCCATTTTTGCAAACAACATTTCAGCGAAAATTGTAATACATTTATTCATTGTCCCAAGGATTCGATCTATCTCCGCACACTTTCTTAAAATCCTCATTCAATTCACTAAAAAAGAGGAATTTTGTGATTTCTGCAATGGGAAACAATGTTGAATGCCTTTATAAAAAGATGATCAATCTTTATATCATTCAGTTAATTTTCAGTCAAGTAGTTCAATAACTTGAAAAAAGATACTTGACTTTTATGAATCAGTTGTAGTAAGTGTTATTTTAATACTTTTATTAACTATTTTAAGATCTGTATTCTTTCTATTTGTTATTTAATGCTCTAACATGTTTTATGAAAATTTCTCTCTCTCTTCTAGCCTACATACATACTTCAACCCAATCTTTCTCATCTTATTTCTCATATTTCAATGTAGGCCAGAAGAGAGAGAGAGAGAGAGATAGATAAATTTCTATAAAAACTTGATAGACCATCAAATAACAAAAAGAAGGAATAAAGATCTTAAACTAGCGAATAAAATTTATGAAATAACACTTACCACAATGGCCTCCCACCCCAAGTAAGTAGGGGGATTTTAAATTGATTTAAGATTACCCTGATTTCTTTGAATTATTTTCACTGGTAAAGGATTTTTTAAATTTAACTTCTCAAAATCCAAAATAAAATAAATCAAACTGTTTTTTAAAACTGTTGTGATATCTTTGCAGTTATTAAATTATTAAATAAGTTTTAAGGTTCTTTGCCTACAATCATATGAAGAATTTTGACTATAGAGTTGTACTTTTTCTCCTGGAAATGTAATTAATTGAAAAGTGAATGTTTGATGCACTGTTTATTTTAGGACAGCAATATTAATGTAATCTGTTGAACTAAATAAAAAAAAAAAATAATTTGTTAAATCAATCTGGTAAAATTTGGCATTTACCATGGACTCACCCATATATATGTTTAAAAGTGTTAATAGAATATATAAATATTGCTAAACATGAACAATATAAAAACAAAGGATATTACAAAACCCTGTTAAAGTGCCACTACTAAGAATGTTCTTAAATAACAATAAAAGTATTAAAATTTGAAATTTCATAAATATCAATGCAGGACTGATCATTGTGATTCTTGGCAGGAGTGAGGTTCTGGACTATGCTTAAAGAAAGACTGCATTATTAAAATAGATCAAGAACTATTTTTTGTAAATTGGCTTTTGCTTTTCTGTACAATAGCATAGCTCTTGGTTTTGTGCATAATAATTGGCATGAAATTGTGTTAAAGATATAATATTAAAAATATCGACCTTAAAAGTGAGTTACCTCGACAGGCATCTTTCATTTTTTTCAATCTAAATTTATTTTTATACTATTTCATGATCGCTTCTTGGTTTTATTCTAAAACTATATTGTATTTGATTTGAGTTCAGACCTGTATAAGATAAAATGTTTTATTGAGTCTTTAATTTGTATTGCTACAAAAATTTTATCTAAGGTGCCTTATTATGCTCTAAGATAACAGTTATTTGGATTTCTTAATAAAACTATGGCAATGAAATAAATAAATGAGGTTAGTAGGTAATAAAAATCATAAAATTTCTTTGCAACTTTACATTCTTAATGTCATCGAAGTGTTAAAATATTTTTAAAAAATATTTATCGCGTATTCAGATAAAAATACCTCATAGCACTGAAAACTATGTCTTCAGAATATTCGTTATTCTCTAAGCAAAAGATGGTTACCCAAACAGTTTTTTTATATGTATTTATTTTTCCTTTAGTGTCCAAAAAGCTGCTGAACCCCCCACCTCTTTGCAAATTGTCCCCAATACCAGGGAATTTCATCACACTGTTAAAAACACCATGGATTTATAGAGACTAAAAATCACTCTTAAAGTTTCTTTCACTGTCATCAAATCAACTACACAATTTATCACAAAATCTTTAAAATTCACTGCTACAGGACCACAGAAAGTATATCATAATGTTTAAGAGATTGAAACTGATTGGTATCTAAGACAATTTCTTAAAACCCTAATATTTGAAGCATACTAATTGATTATACTGTATTCATAAAATTATAGATAAAACTGTATATACATGTATAATTTAATTATTTGGATCAGTTAGTATGTTTCAGATATTTAAGAATTAAAATAAATAAATAGATAATAAGAGGGTATCTCCAATGATAGGATGAAAAAATAGGAATACCTAAACAAATCAGGATTAACAGGGGCGTGTTTATTTTTATCATCGCCCCTCTATTTAGTTATCCCCTCATCCATTTGTACTCAACTAACTATGACATATTGCTTGAGACAGCCATGATATATATATCATATTTTATAAAATATACCAACTAAGTAAAAATCGAATTAAACCGATTACTGACTGAGATAATAATCACACATATTAGTTCGACTTATTCATAAAAAAAATTGGTTATTGATAAAATATTTAATTATATAAAAGTGAAACTTCATGAATGCCATTACAACAAATGATTAGACAGAAGGTCGTATATTCACTCTGTAGATGTGATTCTGTCACTCTGTAGATGTGATAACTAATCTTGGAAAGGCTGAACCTAAACTAAAAAGATGGTGTTTGTATCTTTCAAAACAAGGGTAAGAGTTGAAAGTCATGATATAATTGAAGCTAATTAACACCACGATCCCAATTAAAAAAGATAGTCACATAACTAAGATTGACCATGCCCGAATGCCATAACTAGAGACCAGATTTTCATGTTATTGCACACTTTATTTGTTTACGTGCCGGACTCCAATATCTATTCATATCAGGATCTGTAGAAGAACGTATTTAAATTTTATATTGCACGAAATTGCATGTTTTGCCACTTTTGGCTTAAATTGCACGATTTTGATTTTTTTTTGCATTAAATTGCATACTTTTGCACATTTTGTGCTAGATTAAATGATTTATAAATATAAATATAGGTGCGTGTGTAAATATTTACTTTTTTATTTTACTATCTTGTCCACATTAAATTTATAATTTAAGAAAGAAAAATGTTAGGAAGATAAATGATTCTGTAATGCAAAGATTTGAATTTAACTTTACAAAAGGATAAAGTAAACACAAGTGCAGATAGACTATTATTGGAACTTGTCTGAAGTAATTCAATAAAAAAACTGCCTCCCATGTTTTGACTTGAATTACCACTCTTTTCCCAGTTTTTTACATATTTTGGGTTTTTATTACAGGATTTTGCACATTTTGAGGTTTTTACTGCACGTTTTTCGGATTTTTACGCCACGAAGATCCAGTCTCTAGCCATAACACTGTTCTGCGAACAAAAAAATGTTTCACTCCCTTGAGACTTTTTCCTGATTTTTATATTTTCACGTGTGCTGAGTTCGAATTTAAAATCCTTGGATTCATGTTCAGCATACCTCAAAACATAAAAAAACATGAAGGGAAGATTTTTATGCAGAACAGTGTAATTTTTCATGTGGGTTCCTAACCTTCCTTTCTCCTTTCCTTACAATAAATAACCAACTTTATCCTTATTCCCTCCAAGGTATCACTTTAACACAAAATATTTTTTTAAATCCATTAGGAGACTGAAGCTCCATGGTTTCTTGATATTTTTGAGGTATAGGTATCACCTGAAGAATGTTGATTGTGTAATAAGGTATTTGTTATTGTTTCTTTAATGAAATTAAAAACATATCATAGCTACATAAGTACTTTTCTGATTTCCCACTACTGGTAAGACCTTGCGTCCACTAGATGTGTAAGATGTGCAATGAGTCGTCATTCAACGAACAATTGTGAAAAATGCCTCATTTATTCATGGGACAAAACAGGAAATGCCTTGTTACTGACAAATGTTATACCCAGATATTCAAGTCTAAAAAGAAAAGCTAGTAGCCAGAGTGGGTCAAAGGGGCAGTTCTTAAAATACACACCTGTTGATCAATAAAGTAGGAATGGCATACGCAGAGAGGAATTCTGTCATAAGGAAGACACTCGATAAAATTAAACATTTGTAACAATAACTCTAAGCTACATTAGAAAGCTTGGATGAATACAGCTTATTTGACGAAGGTTTATGAAAAATTGCAATTATATTGCTACTAAGGTATTCTAGAATCGAAACTACTTCTAAAGCAAAATAACTAAGCAGCTAATATGGGATATGTTACGCACATACTACTTGCGTAGTCCTTGGCTCTGTTGTTTTTCACTCCCATTACACCTTCAGTCCTAAAATGTATTTACTTTGAATTGTGACTTCGTTTTGTATGTAAATAATAATAAACCTTGTAACTATAAAAAATTGTAATATAAAAAGGTTAAATAGTTAGTAATTAAAATGACATTTTATTTTATGTTTTAGAAAATGTTATCAATATTACAATTAGAATACACTTTTTTATTTCATGAAATTATTTTCTTAAAAGATTTCACTTTTATCAAATTTTAAATGTGTTTGTTCAGATTTACTGACTATTTATTGCTGAACAGAGGTTTATGTATGGCTTATGAAATATTGTAAGTTTTAAATAGATTATTATCATTGAAGCTGAAAAAATTATTTTAAGAAGAACAAAATGTTCATAATTTTTATTAGTATAGAAAGATGTTAGTTGTTTATAAGTAATAGTTTTAATGAATTTACAAAATAAGTTTTAATATACATACTACCTGTTATTCAGTATAAATTGAATAAAATTTAAATACAAACATTTTGCCATTGGTAATATATTTATGGAGTACAAAGAATTTTATGCTTGAATTTCCCAAATTTTATGTAATAAGTGGCAATGTTTTGTTAAGGAATATGTTTTTTGGTGAAATATGTTGTTTTAAAAGAAAGTTGTGTTTTCCGGCATCAATAATTTTAGTCTTTAGTTAACATTTTACTTGTAGGTTTGTACTAATTGAAATTTACCCATATATTTCAAATCAGATTTAATTTTATTATTATAGAAAACATTTCAGTAATGAAAAAACTGATAGATAAAAAGAAAGTGTCATTAGCATCAATTGTTTACTGATATCTTCAGGCATTTATTTTTAATTTGCTTTCTATTATAGCATTATTGTTGAACTGAGTTTGTGATTAATATCAGCATAGAATACTGCATACAAAAACACAATTTCATGCCCGGCAGCTGTGTTTGCCCTTTGAAGATATCGAAGTATTCACTTACAGGAATCTGGGGGATCTACTTCGGGCCTAGGTGATGACAAACTGGGGCTTACTCGTGTTTAGAGTGGAAGCTTTCAACGTAGGAGGATGTGTCGAGGGTCGGACGGGACCTGTTGCAAGAGGGGCAGTACCAGTAGATCAGTACACCAACGGAGAATGCAAACAAGAAGTTAGGGATGACCAGAGACAAGATGAGATGCCTGAGGTTGTCGTCCCACGAGTACCTGGCCACCACCATGTTCGGATATGTCCTGCTGTAGTAGCAGGGAAAAGGGACTCCAATGTTTGAGTAGCCATACTTCTTGGAAAATGTAGTGCAGTTTACAGTTGGTGGATATCCACAACCCTCAGTGTTGATGAAGAATCTGGTCTCCCCAACGTCCCATTCAACTGAATCCAAATCAACAGTCCCCTGAAAAAGTATACAGTATTATTAATCTGGGAGAATTACTTAGATTAATGTTGTAAAAACTATTTTAAATTATATATCCCCTTATTTTATTATTATTTTAAAAGATTATATTCAATTGACTAGTGTTGAAAAAATTAATAGTATTCTCATTCATATTACTAGATTGAAATTAAGAAATATTTCTTTTTCTCCTTCATCTGAGTTTAGGCTTGGTCTATGTTCTCAAATTGTCTCAATCATTTGCTTTAATATTTCTATTATCAAATTATGTATACAGAGTGAAACTTTTTTTAGTGGATTTTGGAAACTTCTCCAAAGGAGATTTCTGACTGTGTTGAATAAATTTATAATCATTACACAGTATTAAATACTTCTTCATATCAGATGCTTTGTACTGTCAAATGTAGACAGTTTTGATGCCAGACATTTGATCGAAAAGCTTCTTCGTAACGGACAGCAGGAAACTAGTATAAAAATAGAACTGTGTTTAGGAGTGTTAATATTTTCACATTGCTTAAATTTACATTATTACGTAGCTTTTTAAAAAAATTGATAAAAAAAAATTATTGTCTGCTATGAGCATTTTATTTTTTATATTATGATATGAATAATTATGCAAAAGGTTAATTATTAATTTTGATTCTTCTTTATTATAAGTATTAATTAAATAACCTTTTATCAATGATGAGTAGGAAGGGAGGAGCGTCCTCGAGGATGGAATACTTTTCATCACCTCAACTAACCATTTACGCATTTTTATTTAGTTCATTTTTATTTAGTTCATTGAAAAATTCCCATTATTTCCAGTCACAGAAAAATTATTCATTGCCTCATGGGAAGGCTACAAGATAGTTTGAAAGTACAATTAATCAATGAGCACCCCCTTGTTTAACAAGAATGAGCCAGACAGGCTCCTGTCGCCTATGAGCCCACTGTCACCTAACTATAGAAAATTAAGCTGTTTGTAAGAATTTTATTTGTTTGTATTTTCCTTCATTATTTTAAAAAAAAAGAAAGATATTTTACTATTATAAATAATAATCATAGAAAAAATAACAAAAAAAATCTGAAATGTTATGGAAATTTTTTTCTAAATTAATAATAAATTTACCAACATAATTTTATTTTTCTACAAAATATATGTTTTGTGAATATTTATTTATTCTTTGGTAGGCAGATGTATTGTAACAGAACCATAAGTTTTCTAAGCTAGCTTATGATCTCATTTATATTAAAAATGAGTATTATCTAACTCAAGCAAGAAATATTATATTAGATATCCATCTGTTTTGTCCACAAAACATTAAAAGCCTACGTAAGGGCATTATTAGAGTAACATATTTATTTATAAATACAATTTAATATTATGAAAGTCTACTCATCAAAATAATTATCATACCAAAAGCAAAATAATTTGTAAAAAATAAGGTTGAATCAACTGTACTTTAGTCATTAGTCATAATTAGCTTCCCACTCTGAAAAATATTCCTTCAGTTTAACAATGAAATACTAGGCCTTAGCTATTCGCAAACTTATACCAACCCAGTATCGTATTTAATGAAACTAATTGAATTGATGCAAAAGAATAAAATTAAAATGTTCATATATTCATTAAATTAAAAATGTTTATCCTCTTTATTGAAGCAGTTCAAATAGAAATCAATAATTTTATATTTATGTGTAAATTTTAAGGTAGAATTCTTTAGAATCACAAAGAGCTATTAATGGTTTGTTGCAATATAATGGACAAAATTGAGTGGATTATATTATTATAGATTATGGATGGATACCCAACTAAAGGTACAATGGGGGTTCAGAATTGTCACACACCTGGTCTGTAGGTTTTTAAATTTGGTATTCTTTATTTTGTTATATAAAAATATCAAGTTCTCTTCCTATAATGAAAGAAGTATTTATACTTAGAATGTTTGATATAGATAACAAAATTACTATTGTAGTAAGATACATTTTATTAGCAGTAATAAAGTAATAGTAATTAGCAGTTTTCATTATATAGATATATTATCGAAAATTTTACAAAACAGGAAACAAATTTTTAAAAAACATCATCTGTACATATAATGAATAATTATTGTGAAAGTAGTAGTGTGTAGAAAGGAGGAAGGGTTACAGTATAGGGCTTAACTCAATATAGGAAACCCTTCATTATGGCAGCTATGCATTAAGTTTATTAGTATTAAGTTTGTATTAAGCTTTGTATTGACCTTTAAAAACCTCAATAACAACATGTGAGAAGTATCTAATGGCAACCTGGTTGTACCTAGGAGGATATTGTTACAATTAGTGTGTCCTTACGACGGACAGCAGTTAATTGTATATTAAATCAAAAATCGTAAATTTGAGGGCTTTAAAACGCAGAGGCTGGTATATTCTGTGAGGTTTCATAAGGATATCCCAAACCAGGTCTTGTCCAAATCAAAATATTTAAATCTGTACTTGTCCTATTAAGATCAGGCTTTTACTACTTACCACATCTCCATTTTTCCATTAATTGTATTAAAGTTGTAAGAATTCAGTTATTTAAAAAGAGATTTACCACTTCTCCTTGAAATTTCCTTTAAATTCACACATTATTTCTCAAAATCCATGGCTTCTTAGGGGCCGAAAAGTAATCTATACTAAGAAGTTAATGTATAGGAATAGAATAAAATAATATATAAAATGATTACATTATACTATTATGAATTATGCATAAATTGATCCTATGAATATAATATTATATAACAGAAAAAAATATAAAATTTAACAAATTGATATTTAAGTCAAATATTTTTTTTATATATTTTGTAAATGAGGCTGTTTATGGGTTATTGATTCCCTTGCTAAGATGAGATAATAGACTGGCAAGATTGACTATTTTAATTTATAAAGTAACTGTTGATGAAAATTTGAAAATATTAGTGTAAAAGCACCAGTAGCTGACATGCCTAAGGAAATTTCTTTGAACTTTTATGTTAAAAACCTGAACATTAATGTTATTGTATTTTTAATGGATTCGTCTTATAGAGCTACTTCTCATCTTGCCAGGGCACATTTCAAACCCAGAAAGCATTCTCCTCTATTTTTTAAAACTGTAAATTTAGAGGATTCAGGGAAAATAGTTGTACCAGCAGCTGACACTGTTTGATTTGGAATGTTCCTATAGCTGACAGGGATGAGAACAAGGATGTAACTATGCAAAATAAAATGTTGAAATTTATATTATTTATTTTAAGATGGATATTAACAAAAATTACCTTTAACTTATAAAAATAATTTCTTGCGATTCTTGATTTAAATTTATCAGTAAATCCATATTACTAGCAATTTTTTTTTAGCATGAGTGCCATGTGGGCAATTTTTAAGACCCATTATTTTGAGTATATTTCTTAGAATTTCTGTCAGTACAGGGCCTGTCAAGAAATGGCAAACAGCCCAAAATAAGGCTCCAATAATTGGCACCCATTAAATTTTGCAATTCCTTTAATAATATAGCTTAAAACAGACAAAATATAATTTAAAACAACCCAAGAAAAAATAAAACAAAAATTTTGTGATAAATCAAAGTCGTCAAAGCCAAGATCTGATGCCCTTATCGATAGATCTTTATTTCTGGGACACGAAGTGGACGTTGAAAGACCTTCCTATTTCGCTACACATTAATTCGGCAACAGTTCCCTGCGAGACTTAAGCAAAGCAGAGAATTATACGAGCACAAAATATAGAAGTCACAAATTCATGAAATAGAGGTCTAGAAGGTTCTGAAATATTTGTATTCCCTTTTTTCAAGGAGAATGTCAGGTATTGGTACACTGTCAATTACTGGTGTATTTACACAATGAAAAATTATTTTGATACAACAGACAAAACTACTCTACTATTAACTACTGGTGCTGGTACTGATACTTGTTAGGGAGAGCTAGTCTGGCAAGTGGACCCTATTGTGGTCCTTTTTGCCAACCCCTGATGGCTACCTTGAGGTTGCCACTGCGTACTTACCAAAATGGAAATGTCAAGATTCATTTCCCAGGCTCTCAGGGACCCATGACCCAACTGCTCGGCTATCCTGTCCTCCTAATGATAACTAAAGATGATAATTTATTCCTATATAGTATCGTGAATTTTTTAGTTATAATCTTTTAAATATACAGGTAAATTATAACATTCTCAGATCTTTATTACTCCTTATTTAGGTAACTATAAATATCAGCTAATTTTTACTATTGTTGTGATAAAAGTTCGATAATTTTCAATCATTAAATTTAAAGAAAAGAAAGAAATAAAGTAAATATTATAATGGGATACTTAGGAATGTACGTTTTAAGTTTTATTCACCTGGTATAAAATCAATAATTAAATAATAAATTAAATATTAAAGACAAGCAAAAATAAAGAAATGAAAGCAGCAAATTATAAAATAAATAAAAGTTTGGATCTTTTCTGATTTTCACTTGAAAGCAATATAAATGAAAACAGTAAATAATAGATAGGTAATACTAATATAACAAAAATATCATTCCTAGAAATATTTGGAATATTGTGGAGGAGATGGAGAAATAATTGGTTTCTAGTGAAGTTAAAGATGCACAAATGGAGTTGGATAAGTTATGAATGGCAATTTTGCATTTAAAGAGTGAAAAGACTAAAAAATATTTTACAATAAGTTTTATGGACTTACCAATTTACTAATTTAAGGCATACCCACAAAAACATGTCCAATAATACCCTTATAAGGCTCAAAAGAAGCTGGGTAGATATTTATAAATTGTAAATAAAAGAGGGATACATACACCAAATAATAAACTCAAGATAGAAAGAGATGCCAATTAGCACTACTCTCCCTCATATCTATGATTGACATATTAATTATTCAGTACCATGCAAGAAAATTCACTAATTGTCATTATTTTTGACAGTTGACAATTACAGTTGTGACATTTGATTTGGGTCCACTCTCAAAGTTAACTGCTTGCAACCAATTTAGTTACTATATCAGATATGCCATATTAGGATAATTTATTTAAAATTTTTAATAAGTATATAAGAAACAGAGTATGGGATTGAAAAGTCTTTAAGTTAACAATGGTAGGTGATATTGTTCATGTTGAAGCAAACACATTTCAGAGCTATTAAAAGAATAATCGAAACATGAGAATGAGGCCAAAGATTTTATATTCTAAGCATTGTAGTTAGTAAGGTGTCTAATTTTAATTTTTTTAATAAACAAATTTATTTTAAAAAAAAACAGTCATTAATTTCATAAGTTTTGTTTTATCTAACACTTAAACCTATGCTAACAATAGGATGATCTACCAGATCAGGAGAGACCTTACTTTGGTTTATGGAGTTTATGATCTGAACGCAGGAGATTGGAGCAATATTATAAAGCGAAGAAAATTTTTTGAGTAGCGTATCATAAAACCAAGATCCACCACTGGTTATAAAACAAAAGTTTTCCATTGAGTGTCAATTATGATATTATTGACAAATCACTGGGAAAGGTTAAAGCCTTTCCTGAACGATTTTATAGGTCTCGTGATGAATAAATTAGCTGTCAAAAGTTTCATATAAATTTGATCCTAAAATATCCTTAGGAAAATTACCAAAAGATGTTCGATGATTGGAGATAATACCTATCAAAAGTTTTAAAAAATATATATAATTGAATTAAAAAAAATATTAGAGTTGAAAAAATAAGTTTGAATGTGTCAATGTCAAATCATCCATACTTCACAGATTTTAATGAAAATCTGTATACATCAAGCACTAGTGAATCCAGAATTTAATTTTGGGAGTGGGATTCAACAAGAAAAGCTTTTTAAAAAATATCTATAATGATTATTACTTTGGAAGAAGAAGAAAAAACTAATTACCTAAATGAAAAGGTGTTTAAGTTATTCTTAAAGTCTTATTAAATATATTTAAAAGAACAATAATAATTTTAGAAATTTGCTAAAATTTTTTTTCATAAGGTATGATTATATTTTATCATTTTTGGGGAGGAGCTTCTACCCGAAAGTCTCCCACCCCCCTTGTAGATCCGCTTGTGACATCAAGTGAATATAAAAATAAGAAAAAAAAACCAAAATCTATCTAATTCTAACAATTAGTACCATAGTTATTGGACGTTTTAATTTTTAGGAGGTTTGAACTTATTTGGCGAGTTGAAATTGGAAATCAGAATATATATATTTGGACTGCTCTAGGTGAAATAAATATGTATATAATATGGCTTCAAAATTTATTCATTTTTCTTATATTCTATGGAGAATATGATGATACTAGTATTGGCATTATGAATTTTCAATTTTTTCATTTGGATTCAAATTTTACATACAATAATAAACATAGATAAAATCTCTCTTCATTTATTCATTTATTGAACCCTAAAAGAGTATGAAATTCTCTTTGCAACGATGTAATAATATTGGTGGGCTTTAGAATTTTAAGAATTTGATTACAATATAAATCTAATAACTTTGGTTTACATAATATGGAAATCATATGTATAATAAGGACAAAGTATTTACTTAAAACATTAGATTTTGAAAAGGTTCTTTCTTAGGTAGAGCACTATGGAACACAAAAATATTGAAAATAAATTTCAATGATCTCTCAATATTGTTCCAAGCTCTGTTTATTTATTTCTATGTATCATAATCAGAATCTGGTTATGGTAAGATATAACTAATTTAGAAGCTAAGCCTAGATATTATATCAAGCAATATATGATAAGATGAGACCAAGATGAACCGGTAGTACTAAATATTCAAGAGCACATTTGTTATAGGATTTTTTTAATATCACCACAAGGTATGAGAGCTATCCCTTTCGGTAACTTGTATCTCTAATTATGTTGGCCTCCAAGACGTATTTTTGATAAATCAGATATATCAATTTATAATTTATTTGAATCCAAAAATATACTCTGATTCTTATTTTGCTACCCCTTGAATATTGCTGCCATTGGCAAGTATTTGGATAGCCTCTGGATAAATTTTCTACTACAATCATCTCTTTTTTTTGGGTCAAATGTTAGCTGGACCAAATGTATCCATAAGTAGCACAGTGAAAAAACCAAAAACAAATTACATAGCTTTAAAATTATTTAAACTCAAAGAACTATTTATTATTTCCAATATTTCTCCGTCATTTGATGCAGAATTTCATGTTATTTTATATGGTTGAATTAGGATATATGGAGATTTTAGATAAGTTTAACTGTTTATTAAACTCGGATATTTATTTTAGATTGGGACAAAGTTTTTCAAACCCAAAAGCCCACCAATATTGTTTCATCATTTAAAAGGAGATTTCACGCCCTTTTAAGTAATATATGGCTGTATTCGTGTATATGGAGAAAGATTTCAGAGATGTAAAAATATTGATTTTACATAGAGAAGCTCAGAGAAACAAAACTGAGTTTCAAGTTCAAATTGGCCACAGAAGTTCGAATCTCTTAAAAACTAAAACTGCCATAATTTCAGAATTATGTCTAACTAACAGACATCATAATGAATCTAGTTCTGACCAATAGTTTCAGAACTATTAGTAAGAATTACATGGAATTTGGCATTCGTTTTTATTTCTATACAAATTTTAATTGAAATCTGTGGTTGGTGGATGTCAAATTGCACTTTGGCTGAATGATTTTTTATGGAATGGTTGTTTTATTTCATGATTATTTTAATTTTTAACTTCCTTCTTCACACTATTATAATAATAATTATAATAAATTTTCAATTTTTTTATTTTATCATTATTTAATTATTTTTAAAATAATTTTTTAAAATTTGAGAATCCAATTTGTTCTTTTTATTCACAAATAATCCATTAAAATCTGTAACCAATTGTTTTTACCTATAAACATAGAAAACATTTAAAAACAAAAATCTGTCCAAATTTTTATATTTTAACCATAATTATTATTGTTATGATATTTAAAATAATGTGTCTTATTAAGTATTCAGTGAATGTTTCAATTACTTTAAAATATGAAATAATTAGAATCATTTTAATAAAAGTTGATGATTTGGTTATTTGGTCTAATTTTATTATTTTGTCAAGGAACACCTTTGGTTTTTGGTTATTTGGTATTTCAAGTCCCTTGGGACAAAGGTCAGGGTAACTATTTTATTCTACACTTCTGAAGATGTCGCTGTTGTCATTAATATTCAAAATGTTACTATTTTGTCATTTTATCTGGTTAGAATGATAGTGTTATTGGTCCAGAAATCACAAAAAAATTAAATGACTCAGGTTTCACAATATTTTACAGGTTGTTGGATATAAATTATAAGTTTTAAAATTGTTGAAAGGATATACTGAGATGGGCTTGTGTAACATAATTGTTTTTTAAATTGGAGATACTTGCACATTCCAAAAATTACAATAAACTAAAAACCACACATTATAAATTAACATGACTGAACATGGACAAACTAAACAATATTTAAAACGTTTCCGCCTTAGTAATATACACACTTGCACTTTGGTGGTCAAACTCCAGAAACATTCTAACATGTACCATTCTATCATATTCATTCATAAATATAGTAGAGTACAATTAATAAATACTGCCTAGATGATGAGGGACAATTTAACAACTCAAGAAAATATTCTTTTGTAAAATATAGCAAGGAGTTGCTACAAATTGTAAAATGAATAGACCTAGAACCATAAACTGCTGAAATACAAGAGAAAACATTGGTAACTTGTAGATTATTTTATAGTAGGTATCATACATTAAACAATTAATAAATCCAAACGATTTGCTCCATCTGCAATTTGACCACTTTCATTCTAATTGGTTTAGGCAGTTGGACGAGTGGACGAGAGGACATTTGATTGATAATTATTTAAGAAAAACCTGATGTCTGAAAAATTTGTTATTTCCCATTTTCATTGTGAAGTTTTTTTATCATAGACACATCATCTTACCTTTTGCCAGTGCTCGAAAGGTGTTTTAGTGTAATTGACAAGGATCTGGTGGCAGCGTAGGGCAGCCGTGGTGCAGCCTTCCCTGCAAGAGGCCCAGGAACAATTGCTCAGTCCTTCGGCGTAGACATGCTCTACGGCGACGCAGGTCACCGGCTCAGGTTCGTAGTCGGCTAGGATGGTCGAAATGGCAGGGTCTACGACGAAGGGTATCAAGAATAGGAACGCGAACACAGACAGGATGGCCGTAGTGCCCAGGCACAAGGAGGTGTAGAACTTGGCTTTGACCAACATCCCCGTCACATCCACTTTAGACACTAGCTTCTTCACTAAGATCTTCGCACCCATTTCTATCCAGTCCTTATAATATCGCTATAGCAACGGTATAAAAAAATATCACTAACAGACTCGATAATTTCGACGAATTAACTTAATGCCAATCACAAAATGGAAGTCATATTTCGGAAATTTGTTAATTGTTTCGCATTTAATTATAAAAACTTATTAATATTATTAGTATATTTCTTAGTTGAGAAATTTACAACTTTGTTCAGTCTTTAGAGCCAATTTGATTTATTTATTTTTTAAATTTGACGCGTTCCCCTCCGTAGGTGGCAATTAAGTCCTGGATCGAACAAGGAAATGGCAGCGGTTTCGCTATTTACATTGTTTTGTCGAAAGCGTGCTTTCTATAAAGCCTAACGTGCGGTAAGTTTTAACGTGCTCGGTTAGTAATCCTGCAAGGAAAACACGTGCTGATGCGTTGGGCTGTCTTGAAGGAGGGGAATGCCTGAAAAAGAAAACGGTAACAAATTAAAGTTGTAATATACAAATATTGATATATGTGTATATTTATAGGTTTAACATGGTAATTTACAATTCAATAAAAAAAAAAAAATTGAAACAAAACAAAATTTTCACAAAAACTATCAAATATATTATTAAAGTGAGGGTTTCCACTATATCTATATTTATTCCAGGGTGTCAAGAAGGGGATTTGAAGGTGGAAATTGTGCTATACAAATTTTTGAGTGGGGCACATTTCGAGGTTATGAATTTTCTGAATGAAAATTTTCAAACCAGTGGACAAGGGGGAACATGGCGGAGACCGCAGCAAGTGTAATAATATAGGACCTACAATTTTTTAATTTCTACTTTCGCTTGCATTGTTTTTAAGAAGAGGTGAGAAATAAAACATCCTGGAAGAGGGGAGGTTCATGTGCCACTAACCTTGCAGGACTAGGTGACCTCCATATTATTATTAATATATACATTTATATTTTATAATCCTATCATTTTTAAATGTGACATCGACTTACTATAAATATGTCACAGTCGTTTAGAATCGATACAAATGTTCAATATAGACTTCTACTCACCACTTAGTCTATTTATTTTAACTACATTGAGATTGCAAATCTAAAAGATTTATTACAGAACCTATTCAATGCTCAACGGATTTAGAACTCGGGACATGCTGTATTGATTTTATGTTTAATTAATGGTTTCTTAAAAGACATTTCATTATTTATGGGTTTGCAATTTGTATGACAGATAAATTACTTAGATACCCGTGTTGTCAGCTAAGTGAAAACATCGATTTATAAGGACGCTACTAAAAAAGATTTTACACCGATCAAGTTAAAATTAGATTGAATATCTCCCTTCTCGCCTTCAAAATTTGTATTTTGTATTGCAGAAAGACGAGCATTTTTCGGCTATGTATTTATATCGGGTGAGAGGGACATGATTGTCTAATAAAAATTTTAATATTAATCAAATTAGGTATATTAAATTTAATGTTTTAAAAAATAAATATAATTTATATTTAATACCTTATTAAATTGGATTAAAGCGGCATTATTATTTTATAATAAATATTAAAGCTTAATAATTGATCAAGAATGGTAATCCAAGATTTTTATCCATTTATGATGAGTATTATTTTTAATTGGTCTGACTAGAGAAGACATCATTTTTTGAATGATGAAGTTTTGTTAAATTCAGTTGAATTTTTGAAATCATTATGAAATGAAAAAAAATCTAGATTTATAATTATGATTCTTTATATAAATTTTAATATGCATCATGATGATATATCTTACGTGACGGATCTCAGAGGGCCATGGCATGGTCACCTCCACCGGAGTCGCCGATGGAGTTGTCTTTATCACCGTTGTTCCTGCCGTCTCCGCCTCCGCGCTTCTTGAACCGCATTTTGGCGTCGTCTCCAACCTCAACGGTTCGCTGACAGAGAATGAGAGTGAGGCAGGATACCACGAAGAGGACGGATGGCACTACAGATGCGACAACAAACTCACGATAGGTCCGCTCCAAGTTGAACCTCGCCACAACCACTTCTACGTTTTCTTCCGAATAGAAACAGGGGAACCTGCCCCTGGCATTGTGGTCAGTTCCATCTTTACCGTACTCCCGAAGGAACTCCTTGCACTCGTCTCTAAGAGTGTTGACGCAGCCCTCCATGTTGATCATCAATTTGCTCTCGTTGGCGATGAGCAAGTCGAGTTCGGGCGGTGCTATAATCCTCGTCTCGTCCAGCAGCTTAGTGTTGGTCACGCTTAAGTAGCTGAGGTAAGTGAAGTTGGTGAGATCACTGAGGTAGCTCTTCTCAAGTAGGGTACCATTTATGCAGTCGACTGCTTGAATTCCTACAGAAGTGTTTTCCACATGATAACAGGAAGCCATCAGGATATCACTGTGGTTTTCATTCCAGATTTCCTGGTCGGTCCCTGTTATGAACGCTCGATGGCACTGTGAGAGATACACCCTGTCTCCACTCAATATTATAGTGTTTTTGTTCCTTGTGGGAATGTCTAAACACCTCCGGTCGCAGTTGTATGGAGTCCTTATCCTTTCGCAAGTACCTCTGTTGCAGTTCTGTAACCCATCCATCTCCTTACAAGTAATCTTACCTCTCCTTCCTGAGCATTTTAGCGGCGGATCGACATTTCTGAATATGCACTCGAAGGCGTCCGTAATGTTGATACACATCCCTGCTGTGCAGTTGAACGTTCCTGTAAGATTACGACACTCGTCCGCAATGCACCTGTACTTTTTTGCGTTCTCTTGGTCTATACCGTAACATGTCTTGTTCGCCATGTTTGTACAATTGGCGAAATGCAGATTGGAACCGTTTCTTCTGAGATTTACATAGATCTGGACACAGGACCCGGATGTCTTGCTTAAGCACCACTCACCGCAGGATCCCCAGTCGCAGGTATCCGTCGTGACTGCCCTGGTCGTAGTACACATGACCGGATCTTCGCTGATACCGGACTTGAAGGCCCGGATGGACGGCATATATATAGCGACAGAGAGGTAGACTAGGGCAACACAGCTCAGCACAGCTGTCATCTGGCACATACAGATGGTACCACATATTTTGGTGTTTTGTGGTGGTACCACGAGGTCTTCGACGGGGGTCTTCTTGTGCTTGGGCATGGCGTGGCTCAACTGAGTGCGGGCATTGCACGAAGAGGGCGGAGTCCGCGGGTCACGCTAGCCTCTCATTCGATTCCAGCCATATTCTTGGCGAGAAATGAGTCGTTACTATTGTGCACTAGATACCATGACTTCGCTAAGAGCACTGAGGAGTAACAGATTGACTAACATACCTTCCGAACCACCCTCTGCCTGCCGATCCTCCAGAGTACAGCCACAAACCACTGAGTTCCCTGGAGAAGAGATGACGATAATAGCCGACGGAGGCGACGGGGCGAACCTTGCCAGCGGAGATGTGTGAATGGACTGCAGCGGAGGGTGGTCGATAGAGGCGCCCCCACTGGGCATGCTCCTCACTAACCTGGAACAGCCCTTATCTCCTATCGTAGTAACCTCCTGTCATAGCCAAATCTTTCTCTTTCTTAACTTAGTACTTCTTCTCACCTTTGATTTACATAACAAGTATCCAACATTGCAAGTACCTAGTGTCAATTTATAAATAGTAAAATACTACCGCTGGAAAATTGAAATTAATACGAAACAATATACTCAAGAGTATTTTTAAGAATCGGTTTTAAAATTAATTCCAATCACAGAATATTTCTTATAAATTATTTTAAAGGTATATTTCAAATCGTTCGTACCTTATATAAATTACTAATTATGATTATTAATTTAGTACATTTTCTTTACGAAGTTAGGTATAAATGAATTATGAGTACCCTTTTATTAGGAAATATTATTGACATTGATGCTGTAGTAATATCCAAAAGATATTAAATTAAATTTAAAAGATTATTAAATTAAATCCAATGAATGAATATATATACATATATTTTTATCCTTTTATGTTATAACTTTATACATAAAAACTCCAAAATTTAATTTTGACGTTTCCAGATATAATATTCAGATGCCCTTATAAATTTCGGAAAAAGATTACTTTTTCTAAGATTATTAGAAAAAATGATTAAATTATTATTTCTTTCGTCAAATTAAAACCTTAAAAACTACGGAGAACAGAATTACTAAATCTGAACCTTAGAATATATAAAGGAAATATAGCAATATTTCAATGCTACAGTTCTTCTATCTTGCTAAGACATTTTTTATATTTTGTTGAGGAACGTAATCTAGGTTGGATATCTTGGATTTCCAATTTCGCTCTTGTTGAGTTGGTAAAGACCTGAGGCTCCAGAATTCTCTAGCTTGATGCATTAAATAAAAAAACTGCGATGAATTATCGATCTGACTATGAGTTAATAATTTATTGTTGGAAATCGATAAGGGCGTCTAGAGGTTCCTAGACCTCGCAATAACATCGTGAATTTGTGAATAGTTAAAAGTTTTTAATCAGTAAATGTATTTTCCCTATTTTTTCTATCTAAAATGTCATTTTGTTTTTTAAATTTTACATAAATACTTTTAAGTAATTAATTTCTCCAGTCCCATTTGAAATTGAATTTGTTATATACACGATAATTTCCTCCTGACAAATTCCTCCAGGTATCAGGTTTTTATGTAAGTTCAGTCAGGTTGGAAACTTATAACACCATAAGTGTATAATTATAATGATGAACCTATAAAATTAATTTAACTGATAACACCTTAAATTCAATTTGATTTTAATTTTAAATTTATAGATAAAGTTAAATTTTTCTGCAATAGTTTAATAATTAGTTATGTTGGGTAACTAAAAAATAATATCCTTCAGTATTAATATTTTGGAATCCAGTAGAGATAATAAAGTGCTTTTATAAAATTCTTTAATCCGTAAGGATAATGAATAATCAGGATTTTTAGTCTAGATTTGTTTTATTATGTTTTATGACGTTTCACACAATCACAAGGCTAAAAATTAAAAATTACAATAGAAATATATGACG